GGAAAAAGAAAGGGAGAGATACCAGCTAAGGGACAGTTGTCACCATCGCCACCCGACTCTCACTGCCACTGAGCTTGCAGCCTGTGACTTCTCTCAAGCACAGAAAGGACATTCCAGAGACAAGTCATCTCCCTCTGCAACCAGAAAGAGACTGTCCTAACACCTTGCTGAGCCAAAGAAAGAGAAAAAAGCCTACCATGTTTTAGTCAAATGGGAGAATGTGCAAATGGTATCCTGGAACACTCCAGATCTTTACAGATTTTCATGGAAAGATTCTTGGGGTTGAAATGTTACAGAGAAAGCTCCCCTGAAAGAGAATGGCCTGCATCATTTTTTAAAACTTTCATTATTTCATGGAACAAGGCTTAGTATGCAGTTTACTGGCACTGCCTAAAAGATGTCCCAGCTACACCTGTCACCTTTTCTCAACGAACATATACAGTTTTTTAAAAATTTCTATGGGCTCAATAATTCTCTTCCTTAACAGTCTCAAGGTGAACCAAGAGAATAAAAATAGTCCCTAGTATATTATTAGTAGTAGTTAGTAGTAGATGTTAGTCACATAATACTCCTGGATTTGTACTTCCAGGGCAAGAATTGCCATATCCTTTTCAAAGCTTACGTGTTACTGATGGATAAAAATAAAATTGAGATGTCCAAATCAAGAAAAGGGGGCATTAAATCAGTAGCTTTAATGTCCTTTGCAACTCTAACTTTCTATCATATCTAGCTGTGTGATTTTGGATAAGCCACTTTCCCTCTGTGAATCTCAGCTTCGTAAATTAGAAAATGGGAAGTCAGATATCTTCCAGCTTTAACATTCTGATTCGGTTAGAAAATGTGTACCACAGCCAATACTCTCTTCTTTCTTTGTACTCTTCCTTTTTTGGAATGAAGGAAGCTTACCTATAGACCTTGGCATTTGCTTCTTTGACATCTGTGGCTTTGACTATTCCCAGAGACCCCAAAGGTCCATGAGCTGCAATAATCTGTTTTTGCAGAGGTGTGCTGTGAGCCTGGGATATAGGGGCTAGTCACTTCTTTACTGAGTGACATTAGTGTGCAGGCAGAACCCCTATGTGCATGAGGTTCTGTCACTGTATGCTCCAGTCTTAAAGGCCATAATTCTCATGAATTATTATAGTGATAGTCTCAAAGATGGGGATTCTTCTAGATCATGAAGACATCAATAATATTTCTCTCAAATGTCAAGGGTTTTTTATAATGTAAGTGTAAATTAATCATGTACCTATTCCCATTACACCCCTGTCACTACTACGACCTTAATGTCGGTTACTCTAGAAACTTCAGTGGTGCCATGCACATGGCAGGGAGCTCTCTTTCCTCTTCTATTGAATCTATCTCAATTATTCCACTTCTCCCATGTGTTTTGATTTGTCTGTACACTTTGATCCTCTCCACTTGAGAGTGAGATCCTTGAAAGCAAAAATGCCAGCGTGCCTGATTCGTTTATGTATCTAGTACATAGCAAATATTTAATAAATGTTTGTTGAATGACCGAGTACCTTCTACAAGAAGGCACTGTGCATTTTTTCATATTTGTATTTGGTACTTATTACTCCTTTGAAAGATAAATATTACTATTTCTAAAAATCTGGGCCTTAGACAAATGAAGTGACTTGCTCAAAGTTACACAGCTGATAAGTGACTGATTCATAGTTTTTTGTTAGATTCCAAAAAACTATTCTACCATGCTGCTAAAGACACCTTTGAAGAAGTAAAACATAAAACTAAACAAATGGAATTCATGGATCCAATATTATTGATAAAGCATAGGCCTGGCTTCAACCTGATTATATCTAGAGGAGTATGGTGAGGTTTACAATACTACCAGGCTAGGCAGACAAAGAAAGCTACACCAAGAGGGAAGGATTAGAAAGAAGAATCATTCCTAATATCACACAGCTTCTGTCCAAGTACCCTGAAGTTTTCAATTTCAGTTTCCATGGTGGGATTGCAATTATTCGAGCCTCAGGGGTAAGAGCTGGGTTCTAGCTAAATTCAGCTTGAAAGTTAGAACCAGAGAATAGGCATTCATGATTCAACTAAGCAAGTCCTTTGAAAGCCCACTTTCTTTTCTGAGTCTCATGGCTTGATCAAGAGCTTTAGAGCTTTCAGCTCTAAGTTGGGACCAGCAACATCGGGAGCTTGTTAGAAATGTAGGATCTCGAACCCCATCCTGAACTTCTGGATTATAATCTGCATTTTAGAAGATCCCTAGGTGATTTACGTGCACATTAAAATTTAAGAAGCACTCCTCTAGAAGATATTCTAAAGTCCTTTCTGGCTCTAATGTTTTATGAGCTTAGGTTAGGTCTCTTCATGGCGACCAAAAAACTAGCATGCTGATTAGTTACGGTCACTCAGAGATCCAAGTTACCTGATCATCTCAACGGTGTCTTCTGAAGGACTTTGCTAATTCATCTGTATTCCTAGTAAGGCCTCGTTTACTGGGCACATATCATGTACCAGGTACATTGCACACTATATCTCGAATCATCATAATAGCTCTCCAAGAGAGATATTATTATCCCCATTTTACCAATGAGGAAATGATCTCATTAATAAAATTTCCCCAAACCACATGGTTAGATCAGTAACAGAGCCAGAATTCCAACCCAGAGTACTTAGAGCCTATGATTTTTCTGCTACATAATACTGCCTCTGGTTATAAACTTGCAATTTAAAGTACCAAGGGTAGGGCTGCTCTGTGAGGACAGACTACTGGGTTTTGGACTCATTGTTCTGCAATGAATGATATCTAAAAAAAAATGCAAAGGGATAGACGGGAACATAGATCTGTTTGCCAAACCCTAGAATATCTGGGCCAGAATCTCAAACTTTTGCAGACTGACATACATTTAGAACTAATATCACCCAGAAATGATCATTCACGAGGCTCATTTACACCAAGATACTATACAAACTGAAAACACAAATGAGTTTGAGGAAGGTTTATTCAGAGATCCTAGGTGCAAAATTGGTTAACAGAATGAGGAAATTGGGAGCCAAGCCTCTGATCTCTTAAAACTGCCTTTCTGTGCCATGGATAGATAAGGCACTGAATCAGAGGAACCACAAGTCTCTTAAATTATAGCAAATTTTGTGGTCTTGATGTCATTTAATGCCTGACAATAATTTCTCACATACTGACATTGCCATAAACACGTGTGAAATTTCATGGAGTTTGTCTTCCCAGCAAGGGCCTGTCCTTCATTTGTATGTATAAACAGTCTCCCCAGAGCACATATAAATGGACAGTATTCTCTGGAAGGCACACGGTTTTACTTACACTAACAAATGATTATCCTTCCCAGTAAAATGACTAAACAGAGCTCTAATAAATCAATTTGTCAATGGTGATTTCCCTTTAGGAGGCAATATCCCCTGTTCCATTTTTGGCTAGTGCAAATATGTCCTACACTGAGAGCCTGTGTTTAGAGCTATGGTTTAGAAAATCTTAGAGCTGGAAGGAACTGGAAAAAGATCTGACCCTGCCTCCAGGCAAGGAAAGTATTATTATTCCCACTTTGCATATGAGAGAGTTTTGTCCCAGAGCCACTAAATGACTTGCCCAAAGTCACATTATTAGAATGGGATTGAGTAGGGACAGGGGTGGAACCCCATGGGTCACTCAGCTCTGTAGCCAGCACAGCCCAACCCTTTCTGGGCTCTGTCCCATGGCTGGACCTGGGAAGAAGCACTTCTATTACACCTCTCCTTAGGTTCCTTGGACTACCCTTTTCCATGAGTTCCTTCTTTCCTCTTCTAGAAGTTGTATAGTCTCATTTCCCACTGAAAGTGCAATTAGCCGGTTCTTGGAGCAGTCTGGCATCCTCCCTTCCAAATGCCCCGTTTATTCTTCACACCATCTCCTCTTCCTGCTTATTGCTTGTGGACATGCATAGTATTCAGAGCAGTATGCCCTTGTCATCTCCATCCCTCTAGACTACCCTGGAAAGTCTACCCTCACATAAGGTGGAAATCCTGGGGAAAATCATTCTGCTTTCATTTCCAAAGCTATCCATCTGGGAAAAATACAGAACATCCAATTTGCAATGAGTTCATTGGGGAAAGACCTTAGGGTAATATAGACAAGAGAAGTGCAATACCCACAGTTTCTGAAGGACTACATGGGGCAGGAATCTGAGAAGTATTTCAGGGGAGTCCTGGACTTTGAAAAGAGAAGGCTACACAGAAGCTATATTTTCTCCCATAATTTCTAAGATGTTTCTCCTTCACCGCTTAGCGAGATTTTGGAGAATAAACTTGTGACTAAAGACAGGTGGCCACTGCCCTGGGAGCTCTGCTTCTCCAAGATAGAACCAGTATCCAAGCCATACTGAGTCATCTCACCTAGGCTAGGCAAGACTGGCATCATAAAATAGGCAATAGGCATTTATAGAGATTGCCAAGTTTCAGTCAGTTTTGCAATTTCCAGGTTGAAGAAGAGGTATCTGAAATCTGGCTATACAATATGGCATCCAGGAAAAAAGCCAATGCCACTTGTTTTCTTGAGAATATTCGGATTGGACTATTGCTATCCCAGAATAGTGAGGATTGGCTTCAAAGCTCACATACACCCTTGCCATGAGGAAGAGAGGAAGGGGAGGCCCAAGCAGTTTCCCAGCTCTTGCTTAATCACAAGAATTCTCCAAAATCTGATATCACAAAAATTCTGTCACCCACACCCCCAACAACCACTATTTTGAGTTTCAGTGGACAAAACGTTCTGTGTCCTTAGGTCCTATCACAGGATTCCTTGCCCAGGAACAATTTAAAGTGAGAAAACTGAGGGAGAGTTTGGAAGTAGACGGACCCTGTCCAGTAGTGGCTGCTGATCCTGCATACCTGTGATGGAACCAAAGTTTGACATTAACACAAACATAAGGGAGAGTTTTAAAGAGTAGTACGGAAGGACAGAAAGACATGGCGAGGGATGGAGTGGGGGAGGGGCAGAATACAGAAAGGTTACTTACACAGTCTCGTCATTCTTGAATTCCAGCTCCCCATATGTGTCTTCAAAATCCTCACCACCACCCTTGGCTGTCCCTTCTACTGTCCTAAAGGGGACAATGACTGTACCCCGGGCACCTGATGTCCGTAGAACCTTGACCTCCATAACACCAATACTCTCACTGACATGAATAGTATCACATTCAAAAGTGAAGATGCCTGCATGGTCATCATCCAAGATAGTAACTGTGGCCACACAAGGGGATGCTAGGACAGCCCGAGGCAAGGGAAGATTGTTGAATATTGTTGGAGGCATCCCCTCCTCTGGCTGTTCCTCCTCTATACGGACATTGTTCAACCTCACAAAGAAATGTTCATCCTCCTCAAAAATGTCATCATCAATGATACCCACAGAGAACTCTTTCTGTGTCTCTCCGGGTTTCAGAACCACAGTGCCCTCTGTGAACTCATAGTCAGCCCCTGCATTGGCAGAACCATCCTCTGTTTTGTAGTCTACATACACGGTCTTGGATATGTCCCCCCCTTTCCTCACCACTGTCAGGAGTACAGCCCCACAGTTCTCCAGGCACTGGTAAGAACATGGGTCAAAGAAGACCTTGGAGATGAAGTCCTCAGGCTCGTCGGTGTGCACCTCGCTCATGCTGGAGGACTTCTTGGCTTGTTCTGCTGCATGTTTCTTAAGGATATTGCCTGCACCAGTCATCATACGGGTGGCTTGAATACGGTAGAAGGCGCGGCTCTTCTGTTGGTGGGAAAGAGCATAGTAATTGGCCATCTCCACCAACTGATCTAAGTCCTTCTCTGGGTGCTTTTGCTTCAGGTCCTTTAGAATCCTGATCATCTCCCTGCGGGATTCATCCACTTCCTTCCCTTCCAGGGGCACTAGGTTCCCATCCAGGAAATGGGAATTCATCATTTTCCCATCCATCTCAATGCCTTTAGGGTGGTCACCCTCTGTCTCTATGATAATTCCTCGATGTTTATCTGTGCGGTACTTTTTGTGCATGTATTTGTAGAAGAGCAGTCGTTTATCTGCCACCCAGGCTAGAAGAACACACACTGGAAAGAAGAAGAGAGTGAGAAGGCCTTCCCAAACCTGGACCACACCAGGTGAGAAGACTGCCAGGATCATATAGAGCCAGATGTATGCAAAGATACTCCATGCGGCGGTGACAAAGAAGACTCGTAGGTGCTTGATCTTGCGAGTCTCTCCATCGGGGATCACATAGACACAGATGCCAATGATGATGAACATGTTGAAGGCTGCACTGCCTACGATGGTAGAAGGTCCCAGGTCACCAGCAATGAACCCATGACCACACACCTCAATTAAAGAGAGAAGTATCTCAGGAGCAGAAGAACCAAGGGCCATAAGGGTCAGATTGGAGACAGTTTCATTCCAGACCCGAATGGTGGTTGTGCTGGTCTCTCCATTGGGCTTTTTGATAGTCACCTCCCTCTCTTGAGAAGTTATGACTTCAATAGATGCCATGAAGCGGTCAGCAATGATGGAAACCCCAAGGAACATGTATATGAGGGCCACAAAATAGACAATAACCCTGGCAATCTTGTCCCCAAGGGAAGGGTTCTCCGGGTACCAGATTGGTAGGATGACACCCTCCTTGCAGTCCGATGACCCTGAACAGGATTCATTGTTCTGCCCTGTGCTTGGCACATCCCCTGAGCCACCAGCCTCTGCCCGAAGACCATTCAGGAAGAGCACAAAGGTAATCAGCCCAAAATGGAAGAAGGCAGAGGTGAGAAGCTGCAACCTTAACCACGCCATACACAAGACTTAGCCGCTGGCTTCTACCGCAGCACCAATGGTCCTCCTGACAGGCCAGAGACCTAGAAAAGATCAGAGAGGCAGGAACAGGCATGAGGAAAAGGGGGCCAGCAAATGGCAGGTTCCCACCAATACAAACTGAAGCTTCACCTCCAGTGACATATTGCACTAACATATGGGGCAGTCTCTCACTTGGAAAAATAGATGTCAATGGGAGGCACAAATAGCTGCTCTGTCCTCAAAACCATCTGGTGGAGACTCTGTTGAAGAATGGTTTGAAATAGCTAGGAGTATTGGGGAATGGAAACACAGTGAACCTGTTGAGTCCTGTCTCCCAACCCCACTACTTCCTGTGAGAGCTCTCAAGAAGCAACTTAAAATAGGTCACATATAACCTGAATCTTCATTTCAATGTACACTATTTCTAGGGTTTTCAGCCTTCCTTACCCCATTGTCAAATACTCAGGAATCTTGCACGGCATAGGTTTGCAAGGGTGCATATTGAATCGAATATTCATGGGCTAGTCCCCCCAGGTAGAATACTTTGCTCTGTGTGTAATTGATCCCACTTAGGAAAAATTTCCTTCCCCAGATACAAAACTTCTGGAGGCAAGTTATAATTTTGAGCTTGCTTGGGAAATCAAAAGAGTTGATTCACAGTGAATGCTACTCACACTATAGCTAAACTGACACCCTGTAAGGATGTGCCTAAGACCAATGCCACAGCAGCTCTTAACCCTCCAGCAAAACATGCTTATGGACAGTGTAGGCAGCCAGTTATAGGAAGGTGATCCTATTCAGCCACTCAAATTTCAAACCCAAACGTGGGAAGGGCCAAGTGGTAGAATTCATTATCAATGTAACATGGAAATGGATCTCACATAGAATTTTTAATTGGAGACAATATTTTGGGGTGAAATAGAGCCTCATCTGCTGGCCTCAAACCACTAAAAGGTGAGTTTGAGCTCAGAAGAATGGGAAGTAATTCAAACTATACTCATCTTTCTACTTATTGCCTCGTTTGGATGGAATGAGAATGAAAATAACCATGCAAACAAATGAACAAAACCCAAAAAAAGGCAACCTGCCCATTTATCCCCCTCTGCTACAACCACATGGGGTACTTTTAGTAATAGAGGAGTGCTGATGTGCATTTGCACAGCACTGAAAGGGTTCAACACCCTGTGCTTCCTACCTGCTCCTCTTTCCCATGTCAGAAAATAGCACCTCCATCCACGCAGTTACTCATGCTAGAAAGCAGGTGCGAGTCTGCAAGCCTTCCTCTCCCTCCTGTCCCTTTTTCAATCTATCACTAAATCTTACAACCCTCTTGTGATCTCTACCACAGTCATCACAGCCTAAGCCACCAACACTCCTCACAGCAGAGGCCTCCTAACTGAACTCACCATTCCAACTCTTGCTGGTTCTCAGTTCCACTTCCCTCATACAGCCACAATCTTAAAAAAAAAAAAAAAAAAAAAAAAAAAAACTTAAGCATATTGCTCTCCTATTTGAATCCCTTTAATTTTCTCTCGCTCTTGATATAAAGACAATATTCATTACCATGACCTCAAAGCCTTGCATGAACTCATTCCTTCTTTTCCTCCTTCATCTCTGGCACCCTCTCTCTTATTACATTTTAACAACAGTGGCCTTCATGTCTGCTCCTGGTTTAAACCAAGTTATTGTCTACCTCAGGACCTTTGCACATGCCATTATTCATCCTTGAAACAAGTGTTTCTTCTTCGCACCCCACTCTTAATAATGAATGCTTTAGATCTCAGCTCAAAGGGCACTTTCTTAGAAAAACTTTCCCTCATCCCTAAAAATGGTCAACTCCCTTTGGTAAGTCCTCTCCGCATATGCTTTACTTTTCCACTCTGGCATTTGTTAAACTTTGAACTAACGTATTTATTTTTGGGGTTAGATGATTAATGTCTAACTCAATCGTTAAACTGTGAATGACATAAGAGCAAAGACTGTCTCTCTTCTGTTTAATGTGGTATCCTACGTAATTAGTAGGTGCTTAGTAAATGTATGTTTTTGGAGCAAATAAATGTAGCCACCAAGGAAGTTTCTCAGACATCAGACTTCTTTAAAGCCATTTGATGATCTAAATTATAGCCATTTGCTTTGGAAATACATAGAGATCTCACAGACAAATCCGGACTAGATTTTAGCAGCTAGGTAGGACCTCTTTAAATTCCCAAAGCTTGTACTCAAAAAGAGAAATTCCCTTCAGGACACAGTATGCCAGGATGCATAACCATAAAGGCCTTCCTTCCTCCCAGGGGCTCTGTGGATTAACTTGGCTTCATGTTCCCCAGAGCGGTGGCCAAGAGCTGAGCCCCACAATGCCCCATTAGTCCGGGTACTGGGGGCTGTCACAGCAGGTGCCTGGGGTCTCTGCCTTTGACCTCACTCAGAGGAGAACAGGTTATGAGGATGACTGTGCAAGAGCAGGGGGGTTGAAGATATTCAGTATCCATATGCAAAGTTTGGGAAAGCTCTTGTCACCCATGATGTGCACAGAGACCCCATTAGAGGTTTGGCACTCACTCGTCCTGGAGAAGTGTGGAGGGAGAGGGATCTTGGCTCTTTTCCTTGACTTCTGAAAACCCTGATGCTTTGTGGATTCTGATAAGCCCCATGCAGGAGGAGACAGAAGGTAGGCACAGCTGGAGCAGTCCTTTAATCACAAACCAACATGGTGACAGGAGGTGGCAGCTGTGAAGGCCGACCAACCCCACAGCGGCAGGGTATCCACAGGGAAGGGAAGAGAGCTGGCCTTCTGGAGTAAAAGGACGTGGAATGTTGAGGCAGTGGATTAACTAGAGGCATGGAATCCTGTTTCTCTTCCATACCAGGACAATTAAGGGGGAAAATGGTCTTTGCTCTCCCTCAGTCTTGTAGACACTTTGTGGCAAAAGGTTTTGATGGAGAATATGCTACCATATGGTCAGAATCAGAGACACCTTTGAGCAAGGGCAAGTTTAGAAAAACTCTTCCCTAAGAAAACAAATGAACAGAAGGAAAAGATGGGAAATTAAAAAAAAAAAAAAAAAAACAAAAAACAAGGGGAGAAAGTGAGGTGGCTAGTAAATGCCTGTACCCAGATTTTGGAATTAAAGATGGAAAATACTCTGTGAATTCTCAGTTGCCCTTTCTAGCCCTGCCAGGAAATGGTTTCTGGCTAAGATGTTAGAAAGAGAGGAGACGCCTCTGGCAACCAAGCCAACAGTCATTTTTCATGACATTTCCACGGGCCTACACACCCATTGAGACAGATCCCAACTTCCTAGGGGTCTGCCTCAGCCCCTTAAAGACCCAAATGATCTTCTGTGGTCCAGAAGCCTCTTAATCAACCCTGAGGTGTACTCAGAGACATGAGTCAACTTGAGACCCCTAGAACTCCTTCAAATAATGAAGATATTAATAATAGTTAATAATTATTATTAATAATAACTTACAATTAATAAATACTTATAATAAATTATAATATTTACAAGTGTTTATTGTATGCAAAATGCTAAATACCTGTGATTTAATTTTTATAACAACCCTATGAGATCAGTAATATTTTTATCCCTATTCTACATTTTGGAAACTGAGTCTTAGTTAAGGCATTTACTCAAAGTGTGCAGTAAGGAAATAGCAGAGCCACATGACATAAACTATGGTTTTAACCACTCCATTTTCCAAAGATGTCCCACTTTGCTGTAGAGCATCCATGGCCCCCAGTCAGGTTCCAGCCTGATGGGGACTTAGGGGCAATGTGACAATCCTATACCTGCTCAGAGGACAGACTAGCCACTGGGTAGAGCTGCCCAGGCCCCAGGCTCACCGGAGGTGCCCTGGCCTCCTGCTGCAGTTTCCTACCCAAATAGTCTCCTTCCCATCAGTTCAGTTTGACAAATATTGACAAAAACCTGTGATTTGCCAGGCCAGGTATTAGATGCCAGTGGGTCAACTGAAAAATAAGACACAGTGTTTGCCCTCAAAGATACAATCTAGCAGGGATGGAGAGATGCACACACAGACACTTTTTCTATAAAAGGTGGAGGTAAGGGCAGAATGCATTGGGAACACGGAGAGGGAACAGAGCCAGCTTAGGGATTCAGGGCGGCGTTCTGAAGGAGGCGATCCCTGAAATGAGCCTTCAAGCTTGAGCGAGCTGTAGTCAAAATAAATAAATAAATAAATAAATAAATAAATAAAATAGAGGGAGGGGGGGAGAAAGGAAAGTGGGAAGGGCATCTGAGTCAAAGAGAACAGCCCAAGCAGAGCCATGGCGACGCGAGAAAGCCAGCCATGTGGGTGGGATTAGCAGAGCGCAGCGCGAGGCGGGAGTGTCAGGACGTGACAACGGGCAGTAGGGAGACTGGGTCCGTGGCCAGCCTCACATGCCAGGCTGAGAAGATGGGATTTTTATCCTAAGGGCAGTGAAAAGCCAACAATAGGATTTTAAACAGGAGAATGACATGGTCTGATTTATATTTCAGAAAAACCAATTTCACTAAAGGGTTTAGGACGGCTTGAAGGGGGGGGACAAGAGGGGAGCAAGAAGAGAGAACTCTATTGCAGACAGAGCAGATGTAGATAAGGAGGCCGGGCCCAGGGTACATTGGGCCTACAATGATCGCCCCCCGCACCCCGCCCCCATGTCACATTCCTCTCCCTCAGCCAAGCTGGTGCCCTGGCTCAGCCCACCGCCTCCCATCTCTTTCCTGGACTATCCTCGTAATGCCCCCAGGGCCATCTGCAAGGTGTCTGTGTCCTCAGCAGTGGCTCCTGACATCTTTTAATATCACTGGCAAATTTAATTAAAGTCACTGTTCCTCTGCTCTTCCAGATCATTAATAAAACAGTGCCACCAGGCCAGACTGAGCAAATTCTCCCTCCTACAACGCCCTCCACTTTCTCCAATGGGAACACCGCTCCAGGCTTGTCACCAGCCTGGGTAGAGCCATCCTGCTCTGCTTCTATATCTGGGCCCCTGCACAGGCGTCACAGCCAATTTACATTAAAGTTTTAAGTGCAGCCCGGCTGCGCTGGCTGTGAC